AAGGAAGATTTTTTTTTTATTTTTTACTAATATACAACGTGGAAACGGAGAGTTTGCTTGAAAATCATTCCTCGCAATTCAAGTTGTACCGATCAAGAAAAGTCGGAACTATCTCAGCCATTAAACTAGCCCATTCGGTATTATAGCTTGAATGGAGATCGAGAAACATAAAAAGAATATGTCGATAGATTTATTAAACTTCGAACCTGGACCGTAGTTATTCATCGGATTGCATACACGGCCATCTGGCTAAAGTCCCTGTAACACAAGTAGCCATATTTCTGTCGAGTCATGCACCCTTGATTCAAGTGTCCATTAGCGTCCAGATTTCATCTGCTGGCAACATCATTAACGCTCAATAACGGATTCTCTCGTGTCGCGTAACAAGACATTCACTGTTATTATACATTCTTTTATGCAAGCAAGACGAAATGGAATTGTCCAGGAAAATCGTCTTAAGACAAATCGATAGACACGAAAGAATTTGTGTCATTCAGTAGAGTCTGCGATATTAGGCATTCATTTTTTACGGTGTTTTTGGTTCATTTTGTTATACCATTCGGTACAGATGTAACCTCAGCCTTACAGCCTTCACCTCGATTTGTTGTTTGGAACATCGGCGCTATACAGTGATTTTTGTATTAATCCTATGCGCTCTTGTCAAAGAAAGGTATGATTAGCAAATAATCTATTGCCCAGATCTGATTTCTTGAATTTGAAAACGAGTGGTATCACACTCACAGACCCAGAGACGTACACACACAGATATATACTCGAATACATAGACACGTATATTTACTACTATAAACGTTCTTTTTAATGGGTACGCATGTTTTAATGGGTACGCATGTTTTAATGGGTACGCATGTTTTAATGGGTACACGTGTTTGCATTTAAGTCGCTCTCATTTTCTAGCGCAAGAAGTCACATTTCTCGAAAAACGGTTCATATTAATTCCTGTATTTAAGAAAACAAAAGAAAAAGAGATGTATTTCAAATTCGAGTACCCATTAAAATAACTTATAAGAAATAATGTCGAACAAAAAATCCATCAATATATATATACATACAGAGTGTCCATAAAGGTCGTGTGCAAATTAAAACATAACCTTAAAGTGCACACGAACTTTAGGGACACCCTATATATATATAAAGTTATCCATTTTGGTGAGAGTCATGGGATTAGTAAAAGTATTTCTACTTAGGCTCTATCTGAAATGCATGTCAGCATATCGCAGGCATTGAGCTGTGAGGTATTACGGCAAGTTGATTTTTCCTTATTTTTAGCAAAATTATCAACGCATTCGGCATGACAGTTGGAGTTTGATGTGATAAGTGTGGACACCAAGAATTAGATTCATAGCTTTTACCAATTTTTGAGCATTTAATTTTAAAGATCGTCTGAAATAACTAATTTAGGCAGGTTTTTTCTTACAAACTGACTTCAGATTTTTAATATTTTCAAGGATAAATCCAAATGAAGTTAAAATATTTCGTATTAGACACATTGAATGGAAAATATAATATACTCAAACCAGAATTCTAATTAGGAACCAAAGCAAAATATGCATTTTCTTTTTATTCCATTCGATAAGTAAAACTATATAAATAATTGTAGAGGATTAAGGTTAATCAATGAATAAGATTTGCTATATCATTTGATAGATTTTAATTAATAAAATAGCAAGAAATAGATAAAGGTGTATGTTAAGACATTTTTTTTTTTATAAATACAAATATTTAAGTAAATGCTCTGTTTATAATAAACAGTATTAACAACATTTACCGGACTGAATGTCTGAGAAATCGTCATAGAAAATATGCGCCCACCGACTGGAATCGAACCTGTATCCTATACGGAATCGTCATATAGCCTGACGTGCATTTACCGATTTCGCCACAGAGGAGCGTCTCGGTTAGCAAGGTCGATTTAACTGTTTTTAAACTACAATTTTCTATGATATTCTTACGTAGATTCATATCTGCTCGATGCGTATCCAAATGTAAACAAATGACGTCACACATTATAAAATGAACAAAGTCCGACAATTATTTTGAGACATTTTTAGGTTTATACATTCTTTTTTTTATAGACACAAATATTTAAGTAAATGCTCTATTTATAATAAACAGTATTACCAACATTTACCGGCCTTAAATATTTCTCTGACATCCAGGCCTGTAAATGATGTTAATACTGGTTATTTTAAACAGATCAATTTCTTAAATATTTGTATCTATAAAAAAGAATGTATAAACATAAAAATGTCTTTAAATAATTGTCCATTTCATAAAGGTGTATACAACACCACAATACTGCTGGGCATAAATTATAAGGAAAAATGTTTTAAATTTGCATTGTTTGTTGAAAATCACACTAAAACTACTGCACTGGATAACATACTAGCAGCATGGCCCGACGTTGCCAGTGCTTGATTCAAAAGTCGTACAACTCATACAGCAATCGCTATCACTTGACTTTAAATATTTTTGCCCTTCCTTGCCTTTAAAAGAGTGTCCTTTGCCGTGCTGATGTTGCTACATGTCTTACTTCTTGCCTATCTCACACTGCGAATTTTTTCTAAGCTCTATACTAAACATTAAATCTGTTACGAAAAGAGAACTAAACAAAATGAACACAAAACGATCAGCTTTAAAAAAAGGACTCGTAACTGGAAAAATCGAATGAAAAAAGAATGTTAACAACAAATACTTTTTCACGCCCAACCCAGTTCTGCGGAATCAGAATCAACGTTGAGTTTAAGCAAGCGAATGAGCCAAATGGAGTAAAGTGCTACGCAGATTTAAATTTTTCCCACTTGTGACGAATGCAGCTATCGATTTTTTTACATGCTAGTTAACGTTCGTGTCAGTCAGCTGTTGGCTCTAACGCTGGCCAATAGAATCTTCCTGCCTATTCGTGGCAGCCAGCTATTGGCTCTCACTCTAGCCAGTACAAAATGGACGCAAAGTACACGAAAACTGCCGTAGAAGCATGAAAACAATCGATTATTTCCACTATCGATGGGAGTTGGGAAATGCAATGTTGGTCTTGGCCTTCCCACTAAGTTGGAGTATGTGCATGTAAATTTTGGTGCAAATCCATCGAAAATTGCGGTCGTGCATTCGTTACACACACACACACACACACACATCCTGCCTTTTATAGATAGAGATACACATGATAATATAGCTAAATTGTTCTGCATAGTTTCCCTTTGAAGCAAATGAAGGTCTTATTTGATGGCACAATAATTTATTAATAATATGCTTGCGCCATGCAGCTCGTTCATATACAATGTATAAAGCTTCAGTAAACTATAAATTTTATAAGGTTAAAGGCAGTGCTATAAGGGTTTCACTGATCACCGTAATTAAATTCCAATGATAGGATTATAAACCTAAACTTAATATTCAAACTCATTTCCTCAAAAAATGGTAACGCGTACGAAAAGCATATTTTGTGTCATTATTTATCCTTCCAAACCGCTACTTTTAAATTGAGTGCAATCCGACATTTCCAAAACCATCTGCCCTAGTGATGCTCATCGTCTTGTGAAACGAGGCGTCATGATGTCATGATGTCATTGGTATATTTGTGTACCCTAGGCTTTAGTGCAATGAGGGAGGTGTTGCTTCAGGGTTAGAATCCTCGTGATCAGACTTCTTTGTGCTTAATTCGGGTATATCCAGGCATATCAGGACATTGCATAATAGTAAATGGGCTGGTCTTTCAACCCAAAGGTATTTTCAGCGATTTGTTTCTTAACGGATCCACTTGAAAACTGAATTACCTTTCGTCGGATTCGTTAGAAAAATCACAGATAGCTTTAGAACTAACTACAATGCATAGAAGAATAACAATTACAAAAGAAGGACACGATTTTATTATAAATAAGAATGACAAAGAGAAGGAAAAGAAAAGAAAACATATCTGCTTTCGTTACACAAAAGAATGTAATTACAGATAACGCAGAACAGGAAAGACTGCAAGAAATAAGAAAATGGTAGAAAATGTGATATGATTCCGATGAAGGAATCATAAATATATAATTGGATGTTGGGTATGAACTGAACAAAACAAAACAAAACAAAAATAACTCTTGTTCAGTCGAACAAAATCCAAAAAACAAATGGCGAACACATGAAATTTCTCTAGACAACTTTGGAGGTTTTTCTTGTAAGTCGTTAAGAAGTAGATAAAGATTAATAAGTTGTAATTCGTATTTTGCTGACGATGGGTGAATATCGACCATGATATTTTTTCGTGTTGTCAGTATTGATTCGTTTGCTTAATGGAGTTTCACAGCGCATGCGCCTTAGTGTTTATGATAATGAACACAACAACGTTGTTCTTTGATTTCTGTTGTTTCAGTTGCGTTTTTTTCTCTTCTCTTTCACTCCAATATCTTTCTTTTTAAAAACTTCCACATATATCTTTTCCTTTTAATATTTATTTCTTGGTATTTTTTATCTTTCATTTTCTACTCTTTTTTTCTTTCTTTTCGTTCGTTCAACACTTTTTATTCAGTTTGTCTACATTGTATTTCTCTTTTTCTTTTTTCATTAAATCTTCTTGCCTTCTTGAGATCTATCTATCTATCTATCTATCTATCTATCTATCTATCTATCTATCTATCTACATATATCTATCTATCTATCTATCTATCTATCTATCTATCTATCTATCTATCTATCTATATATATATATATATATATATATAGGTACCATAAATGTTTTAACACATATCTCGTTTTTGCTGTTTATTTTTTCCTGTCTTCATTTCATGTGTTTTTCTTCATTTCTTTGTTCTTTTTTCTTTTCTCCTAATTTCATTTATTTTTCTTCCTTTCCTTGTTTTTTTCTTTCTTTTTTTCGTTCTTTCTTTCTTTCTTTCTTTCTTATATCCACATTTCATTTATTTTAATTTTTCTTTTTTTCTTTCATTCTTTCTTATGTCGTCATTTATTTATTTTTCTTTTTTCTTTCTTACTTTCTTATGTCGTCATTTCATTTATTTTTCTTTCTTTCTTATGTCCTCATTTCATTTATTTTTCTTTCTGTCTTTCTTTCTTTCTTTCTTTTTTATGTCCTCATTTCATTTATTTTACTTTCTGTCTTTCTTTCTTTCTTTTTTATGTCCTCATTTCATTTATTTTTCTTTCTTTCTTTCTTTCTTTCTTTCTTTCTTTCTTTTTTTGTCCTCATTTCACTTATTTTTCTTTCTGTCTTTCTTTTTTCTTTCTTTCTATCTTTCTTTCTTTTTATGTCCTCATTTCACTCATGTTTCTTTTTGTCTTTCTTTCTTTCTTTCTTTCTTTCTTTCTTTCTTTCGTTTTACAATTCATTCACCTGTTATCTTATTTCCTGTCACATTTGTACAATTTTCATCGTTTCAAACACGTCTCCCTCTTTTATCTTTCTCTTCATCACTTTCCACTGGTTAACTTGTATCATCGTTGCATTGTTCGATAATCTCTTAGCAGTTTTTGCGACAGAATAACCGGTTTTATTTCAACAGACCAACGACACAACAACTCGTGTTCTCACAATGAACGGGCGCAGAATGAAGAGAGATATTTTCCCAACCCTCTTTTGCGCTGAGCTAAATCCAATCGTAAAGACAGATAATAATAGAAGTAAAATAAAATGCCAGAAAATTTGCGCAAACTAACGCAATATATTATACGAACTGAAGCGTGGTGAAATATTTAGGTGAAATAAGAAAAAAGTCATTTTCATATATATATATATATATATATATATATATATATATAGAGAGAGAGAGAGAGAGAGAGAGAGAGAGAGAGTCATCCGCAAGCAGACTGTGGATAGACCTGCGATTGCAAGTCAGGATCGAAATGAGAATGATCAGTGTAGAAATTGGCTTTTTAACGCACTATATACGACAAATAAACATTACTGGCTACCAGAGTGCTCAATCCATGGGGAAGAGCATTTAGCGTTAATTAGTAGCAGCTATAGACGTGAAACACAGAGTCCGAAACTCAAATCAATCCAACTAAATATGTTAGCTCTATCGCCAACATTGAGCGATTTCCGGTAAGTACCGCGCATATATAATATATAAATAATATATATAAAAACACACACACACACACACACACACACACACACATATATATATATATATATATATATATATATATATATATATGTGTGTGTGTGTGTGTGTGTGTGTGTGTGTTGGATTGACTTGAGTTTCTGGCCCTGCTTTTTCCCGGTATTTGTGATCGTCAGACAGTTTTCTGATGATCGCAAGGGCATGAAACACAGGGTCACAAACACAGGGTCACAAACTTATGATCCAATTCATTGCAGATCTGATGAATTGGATCGTAATTACGATTCAATGTAATAAATTATAACCATGGAATATTAGTGGTTGAGCCTTTTATATTATATTCTTACCTGGACATTGAATTCTACCTGGATTCTATCCTCTAGGGAATTTATATATATATATATATATATATATATATATATATATATATATATATATAGAGAGAGAGAGAGAGAGAGAGAGAGATAGATGATAGATAGATAGATAGATAGATAATATTAGTGGAAAATATACATACATATGCAAAATATATAAATACCCATACATGTATATTTTCAGAAAAAAAATTTCAAGAGGAAGAATCCAGGTAGAACTCAATGTCTAGGACAGAATAAGGATATAATAAAAAAAGGCTTAAACACTAATATTCCATGGTCATAATTTATTCCATTGCAATCGTAAATACGATCAATATATATTTATTAAAGACATTTTTTTTTATGTTTAACGTTGTTATTTTATAGATACAAGTATTTAAGCAAATGCTCTGTTTAAGATAAACAGTATTAAATAACATTTACCAGCCTGAATGTCGAGATTTTCATAGAAAATATTCGTTCATAGACAGGATTCGAACCTGCATCCTATGGAACTATCATATAGACATACCTTAACCACTCGGCATACCATGAACCTTATGGTGAGTGGTACAAGGTTATGTCAGCGTATATGACAGTTACTATAGGATAAGGTTCGAATTTGTAACATATGAACGAATATTTTTTATGAAAAATTTCTCGGACATTCAGGCCGGTAAATGTTATTTAATACTGTTTATTATAAACAGAGCATTTGCTTAAATACTTGTATCTATAAAATAACAACGTTAAACATAAATAAAAAAGTCTTTAATAAATAAATTGTCGGACCTCGTCCATTTCTTAATATATATATATATATATATATATATATATACAGACACACACAAATTGACTACTAATATTATTTCTCCCTCTCTCTCTCTCCATATATATATATATATATATATATATATAATCTGACGTGCGAAAAGTAATGCAGTATGTGTTTAGTATCGGCTAAGTACCCCGTCTAGCAAGCCTACATAGCAATGATTCCATTATTGGACGTAAGATAGCTGATGAGATGTTGACCCAAACCCCTATTCACAATTTATTGAATTTTTCAATATGCATGCACTTGTATCTGACTGCCACTTTTCACGACGTGCCATAAATGCTCAGATGATCGCATATCAAGAAAACATGGTGGCCAAACATAACCTGGGCAATTTGGGCCCTATGGAATGGTGCATTATTCATTTAGCATAACCAGTCATTGATGGACCATATACAGTCCATTAACAGGTGAAAATGGTCACGAAACAGTGCAACATTGTGATCTCTGATTAACAACGCTTTCGGGCTTACAAACAGACCCATCACATGCCAGGTTAAAATACCGCACACAGATATGTAATGGCCAAACAGATCGCGCTAGGCCTTGGTGAGAAATGGCGTCCATGGCTTCACGGAATCTCGGCTACACTCGAACACTATCATGAGCTCTAAACAAATGGGACAGTAACTATTGGGGCCATTAACGGCGATCTCAGTTTTCCATGGTTCAGTTTGTGGCATTACGCGCCCAGTTGAGTCGCGTATATATATATATATATATATATATATATATATATACAGGGTGCTATGCATAAATTATCGCCATTTTATATTATTAATTTCGCGCATGCGCGTTTTTTATTTTGTCAAATGCAAACTATAGTAGGATTAGTTGGGCACTGTTTGTGAGAAAAAGAACACAGTGACGCAATTCCCTCCACCTAAAATTTAGAATGGCATGCTGTACTGCTTGGCATTCGCGACGGAATCTCCAATACGGACATTTCAGAACGTTTGGGTGATAATCTTGGTGAGGGCCTCAGACTCAACACGAAGGCCTAAATCATGTGTCTTGCGGAGTTAGTGTTGCCCTTAATAGGAGGGTAGCTTTGGAAGACCCTATGTTTGTCAACACGGCTCTGCACCATGCCTCACAAGCAGGAGGACGCAGTCATGGCTGTTAGACAATTTCTGTGACCACATCACCCATTACATCTGTCCACCTAACTCTCCAAACTCCAACCCCCTTGATTATTATGTGTGAGGCGCAGTTAAGCGAGAGACCAACAAAACTCTTTGTAACACCAAAGATGAACTGAAGGCAAGTATTATGGTAGCAGTCACCAATTTAAACATGGAGACCGTCCAGAAGAGTTGCAGGAGATTCTGAAGTCGTCTGGGTGCTGTGGTTGAAGGCAACGGCGAGTTTATTGAATAAATTTAGTCTTTAACATTTTAAATTATGCGTTTGTGTGTGTGTGTGTGTGTGTGTGTGTGTGTGTGTGTGATAATAATATAGTTTTAAGGTATGCCTTATTTTGGGGTAAAAGTGTTCAATAACCTGGACAGAGCGTATGTATAAAAGTGGAAACTGAGGTCAACACTAAGTGACAACTGTCTGTTTCAAAGTTCAACGCAATCGCCAGGCCAGAATTTTGCAAGTAGAGGAAATATTTTAATCTTGCCGACACAAGCAAAGCTTCTTTTGCAAATAAGAATCCAATTTCCACTCGCTACTATATTGCAATATTTAAAGCAATATCTATGCTACTCATGTAGATTTCACTTCAAATAAATCGCGAGAATTCGTCTTGAAGATATTTGATGAAAAAGACGGACCGTTACCTACGATGAAAGATATGGTAGCTTTAACAAACACTAAAAGTGGTGGCTAATAGACAGTAGCTTTGATAAACACTAAAACCGTTTTTATACCAAATACAAGTGCTACTTGGAACATTCATTCCGGTGTGAATTTTTTAACTTATAAAATAAGACTGCGTTGAACCATGAAACAGACAGTTGTTCTAATAAACATTCCGAGCAAAATTATTTGAAAATTAATGAACAGTCCTTTACTAAAAAGGCGGGGGTGCTTATGGCCGTATCCCGTTGAAATATCGGTTCTCGCACGATCACCGAAGTTAAGCAACATCGAGCCTGATCAATACCTAGATGGGTGACCGCTTGGGAATAGTAGGTGGTGTAATGTATATCTGCTCGGAAATGGAAAACGAAGAGCCGAGTTCCAATTCCAGTCGGGTTCGTTAAATTCACTTACGCGCGTATATCCTTGGGGAAGGTATGAATCCGCATATTCTCCCCAGTTATGGGTTAATTAGTAGGACTTGTATCAGTAAATCATGATCACTTCCATCAAATTCTTACAATATATCTTTCTTTCTTATATCCTCATTTCATATATTTTTCTTCCTTCCTTTGTTCTTTCTTTCTTTCTTTCTCCCTTTCTTTCTTTCTTATATACTCATTTCATTTATTTTTCTTTCTTTCTGTCTTATGCCGTCATTTCTTTTCTTTTTATCTTTTTTTCTTTTTTTCTTTCTTTCTTTACAAAATTTTTTCCAGCCTTAAATAGCTTGCAAAAGGTTGATAATCCGTAAAAGAAAATCAAATCAACCAAAAACAATCAGATAAATGGGTGGGAAATGGAATAAAATCATTGAATCCGGGCGGCACTTGCATTTGCTAGACAACTGCCTAGATTTGTCATGAAAATTACATTTGAATGGGCCGGAAGTGTTGAGTCTTTGAACGATC